CATTAAATATTCACAGATTTCCCATTTCACACTTTGCAGAGGATTATTGTGCCTAGTGCACACACAGACGCACACACAAATCTGAATCAAACACTAACAGCCGTGAAATGGACAGAAAAAGGAGTTCATAAGGAGCTTTCGCTTTGCCTCTCCCATTGGCCCAATCAGATTTTTATCCAATAAAATCTTTAATGAGGTGAGTCAGTGAGTCACTCCCTCTACATCACCTTGTGACAGCAGACACAAATTCGATCCGTCACACCATGTTTTCACACAAATTGCCTGAATCATGTTGCATCAGCCATGGCAGGGAAGTAGAGGTTTACATTTTTTCTATCAGAGATAGAATTAAATGGTCAAATTAGCCTGTCTGAGGTTGTCTAAAATGTAATATAACACTGAAATGCTCAATTAAAATGTGCAGCATACACCTGTGACCAGTGATAGCAGTAAATAAACAGATGGATAAGCCATTACATCTTCATCATAAGGCAAATGACAACTACATTTTCAGACCATTTGTCATGAAAACAGAATCTATTATAGTAATTATTAAATGCATACTTTAATTGCATATGACACTACTGCTGGTTGTGTTGACCTGCATCCACTCAGCAAAGATAAAGGAACACAGGGAAAACCATGGCTAACACTTCAGCATGCTAGTTCTGTAAATTGTGTTATATTTTTATGCAAGTTAACTATTGTTTGTTTGTTTTCATAGCCCTACTTTTTCAGAACATATATTCTCAATAAAAAAATAATATTAGCGAGTGTCCTACAACAGAGCGCAGCTTAAATCTAGCATACAAAAATATTTGACATGGGCAGTTTCCACACCATTATGCTTGTATCTGTGAGCTGGTTAACTTAACTAATAATTTGGAATTACATTATTGCCCACCACCTCCTTTCCATTCAGCTATGTACTGTACTGGGATGTTAGTTAATGGAGCAGACAGACAGTAAACACACACCCACACTTTGGAGATTGTTTATAACAATAACAATTACGTGAAAATACTTTTGGCATTAAGCCACATTGATAACCATCAAATCACTACTCTGTGGAGTATCATTTCATTTTCATTCACTGATCCCCTGCTTCCGTCATGTTCCCCGCTAATCCCTCCACAGCTGAGCTAGCAATACAATGTTTTCGTCTCAGCAGTGAATCAAATACCTCGTCCAGGATTTGAGCCAGCAGCCTTTTTGAGAAGTGAGACCTCTCTCATATGATCACTTATCACCCCATAGCAGTCTCACCAGCTCCCAGGGTTTCTCTCGTACACCACCATGGGGAATCTGGTGTGAAAATGAGACACACTATGTTACTGTGTTATCTTCTACTCTCTCCCTCTACAGTGACACATGCTAAACAAACTGCCTGTAATTGTTATATTTATTCTCTTAAAATCTAAAAAGGTTTTTCGGGAGAAGAAAGTCCAATTCCTATCTGTTTTACTCACTGCACTCCAAAAGCTGACCCTCAAACTTTTCTCGCTCTCATCTCTCGCCACCACCTGCAATCTGTCCAGCACTGAGCCATTCTCTTTGTGCCCTCTTCTCCTTTTCATCCCCATCAAAAAGAAGGATGGCAAAGTTACTCCGTCAGCAGCAGGCGGATGGAGAGCTAGCAGAAAATAGAAAAATAAAAAGCCGGAGTGGCTGGACGGGAAGGAAAGTGGGTTAAGAGGGACGTGATAGATGAGACCTGGAGCTTTCCTGACTCATGGCCTGCTTTCTCTGGTGAGTAATGTGGTCAGTGACATCTCTCTCCCTACCCCTCAGCCACCCCCACCATCTCTACATCCCACCTGGGATTCTGGTAGCCAGCCCGGGGCAGAACGGCACACAGGATCTCACCCCACTTACCACGTCTGCATCACCAAGTCCCAGCTTAGACAGCCTGGGTTGTGTGTGGTGCCGAGGTGGGGGCTACAACAGGTCTTGGGGTCAACTAAAGCACGCCTCCCTGTCTTATTTACTGCTAAAGCTCTGGAAGGGATGTGTGCACTGGAACGTAGTCAGATCCTGCGGGAGGACAAGATAAGAGCGGTATATTTATCTCTCTCCTCGCTTATGTTTTTAAGACTTCTATCACAGGCCTTTAATCCATTGCTTCCTTTTATATACAACCTCATTTTTGGGTTGCTTGCATGTTTGAGTGTTTGGCTGGTCTGTAGACTGATGGTGGCCTTTTGGTGCAATAGGATATTAGGTAGTCAGTTTTTTGCCGTCAATATATTGGAAAGTGTGTTTTTTTAAATATTGTGAATCATAATATGCAATTATGTTGTCTAGATTAAGCTTTTTTTTTAAAGCAATTACTATGTAAGATTGCAAATGTAATTTACAGATTAAATTCTTATCATGCAGTCCATTGTGCAGAACATAAACTACACAAATTGACAATTATAATGCAATTACCTTGAAAGGTCTTTTCATATCTCTTGTCATCTGTGGCTTGTCATATCTCTTTTCTTTTGTAGAATTTCAATCCCAATAAATGCAGTTTGATTATGTTGTTGATGAAGGATTATAACCTACATATTTTAATGTTTGTTGGTCTAGTTTTTTCACACTGATAAATGGTCAAATTTAAAGCAAATCACTATGTCTGTCTTTTTTGGTATAAATATGAAATAAGTCAATAAATAATACATTTTCTAACTCAAAAATCTATAACGTACTACAAACACACTAACCATTTTTTTTTTCACATTGTTGGACATTTATTTTTTCTTTCAGCATAGAGGAATAGACAGGTGTTATGTTGGCAAGCCAATAGCTTGTGCATATGATAAAGGTCACCTTTGCAGCAGCCTCAAACACATATCAGGTGTTGAGTGTGATTGATTTTCTCAGGTCTGTTGTTGCAGAGTCCCAGCATAGCTTGGAAAAAGTACAATGACATTCAACTAGTCGCCTGACACTGTGTACACACTGTGTAAATACAAACTTCAAAATATAGGTCAAAACCCACATCCACATCGTTTGAACTCTAAGTGTGCAAAATCATCTCGTACAAGATTATAGTGTCTCATTAGCAAGTTCGGTGTGAAGTGGGAAGTGAGGAGCGACACCGACAGACCATTGTCGACCAATCACAGCCTCTCTATTTGATTTTACATACCAGTTGGCCAGTGAATTGTGCTTTACAGATGGTTGTCTATAAGTGTACACGGACACATAAGGTGCAACACACACAAACATACATAAAGATGTGCCCTGACACGCATACGCTGAAGCCTGCTCATTACTATGATAAGTGTCTGCTCTGCCCCCTTGCTTGTTTTCATTTTATTTTCATTTCAAAGAACACCAGGACCAGCAGCTGCCAGCTACAGATCTGAAGTGTGGTCAGATGTATCAGTGTGCGTGTGTGTGTGTGTGTGTGTGCTGCACTGGACTTTGCCTCTGCCCTTTCCAGCTATCAATGCTGAGGAGTGTGTGTGTGCGTGTGTGCGTGTGAGCAGAGACTCTTTGATGGAGGATGATGCAGTGCATAACAGTCAGGCTGGCCTTTTGAGTAGCCAGTTTATCTGGTACTATCTGATGCAACTCTCTCTACTACTCGAACACAAGCACATGTATATTTCACCCTGTATATTTCAGAAGAACTTGAACTCTCAACTTGTGTTCACACGTCTTAAATCTGCTTGTTGGCCACACCCATCCACATGTGACATAAATAGATAAATACTTTAGAATTTGGGGAAAATGGCTTCTGCATTTAAATGTTTGAGTTTTGTGTAAATGAAGAGACAGAAACATAGCGTTCCACAAGTACCCGGGTTGAGTCTCTTTCTAGCTTTTACTGTCTCAATTCTGTCTCAATGGATTATTCAGAGGATCAAGTGTGAGTCAGGCAAGGATTTCAAGAGTTAAGCACATGGATAATTATTCTCTTTCTCCTTAAATTGGGCCAAGGAGGGCCCGCTACTTAATGAACTCGCTCCATGCTTCGCACTGTGTGTTTAACACTAACAATTACACGTGTCACAAGCATCCAACGGCTTTTATACTGCTCTTAGCAAGATTTAGAGAAAGACATGAGACACTCTAGAGCTCAGTCACGTGTTTCTGCCCCCATCCACAGGTGGGCAACACAGTTTGAGCTGAGATCTGGACATTTGTGTGTGTGTGTGTGGCCATCTGATATAATCTCACACCTCAGCATGCACTTGGCCTGACCTGGGTGCTGGCAGAGGACAGGCATCTCAAAATATGCTTATTCTCTACCCCCACAGTCCCATCCACTCCCTCTCCCTTTACTGTCGCATGCACTTACACATACAGACACGCTCAGAGAGAGGTAACAGTGCGTAGCTGACTTTTCCTGAGGCACCTTCATGCCTTTGACCCCATGCAACCCTTCCACAGAACAGATGCACAGCAGAAATGCAAAGTCGACCTCTGACATGGTTGTCCCTACACAGCAATCAATAGAAGCAATTAGTTTCCCATTTCTTCAGAAATGTTGTTAAAAATCCCAGTTGAACATAAATAGAGTACTCATATAAATTTCAGTTACTTGCAATCTTGCCAACTGAAAAAAATAAAAGATGAAAACGTGTATTTAGGTCACATTACAATCACTCTCCTACAGCTTTAATGTGCATTATCTTGTCTATACAACCTGATCATATCATTCCCTTTAGACAGTTAATGAGATTAAATGAAGTAGGAGAAGGCATGATACTGTAAGCTGCAAGCGCATCTTGGCATTGCTGGGCTTAAAAAGGTGAGAGAATAAAAGAAGAAACCCAAGTCTTCCCAGCTAATCTAGTGCACATTGCCTCTACAATAGGCCTATAAATTATAACAACAAAGACAAATCCACATGACTGCGCCCAGTTTCAGCTCATCAACCGATCACCCCGCTCTGCTATTAATTGCATTACTGACATTGGCGCTATCACTGCCCGAAAATTGAGCGCTGCGAGCCGTGCAATTAAAAATAAATAATAAAACAAAAGGAATCAAGAGGCACTTACCACTTTACAGCAAGGAGCGGCGAAGGCAAGGTGCGGGGTCGGAAGTTGTCAAATGATTGTTTGCTTGTGTCGTATCTGTAAGAATGTCATCGTTTGGGTTTTATTTTTGCAGTGCTGGCGTGCAGACGGCGGTGCGATGGACGGTTTCTCCACTGAGTGCTGCTGGTCACACGGCATCCAAGGCGCGGAGAGAGACGCGCTGCTGTGGAGAGGAGGAGAGAGAAGGAGGGAGGGAGGGAGAGGGAGAGGGAGAGATTAGGACTGGGTTTGCTTTGAGGTGCGCGGCAAACAGCGACCACCTGTGGCCATAAGAGGGAACGCTTGAATAGGCACTGGAGTTGTGTCCTGTATGTGGGTGAGATGGAGGGATTAAGATGCGAGTTACACTGGTTTACGTGCCCTAATAGACCAATTTCACAGCAGCCATTTTGTCATGAAACAGTGGTGGTAAACACAGGTGCTACCGATGATATTGTGTTACGTTCAGTAATTAATTAGTGTCATTGGGACCACCTGTGTTTAACCTACTAGTTAATGTCGAAATGGCTCCTGTGGAAGAGGCCTATTAACCCACTCGTTGGTCAAACACACATTTATGTGTAATTCTGCATCTTGTAGCCTTAATATATGAAAGGCGGCGTAGGCAAGCTGAAACTGGGCTGTAAATGAATCGTTCCACATTTTGAGAGACAGCTTTAAAGCGCTTTATTGTGAGTTTTAGCTCATTGTTTAGCTATGTGGCTCCAAACTTTACTTGTGTTGGTTCTCTGCTCTCACAGTGGCGTTTTTCAGCCGCAGCTGTGTTCAGTGAAAAAGCTATAAAACTCCCACTGTATGCTACATTACCTGCTCAGAACCGGCAGGTAAAGTTAGCAACAACTGTGAAACATTTAGCAGTTAATGTGTGTGATAATGTTGCTCCAAAACTATCCATATCAACTTCAAAGGTGATACAGTTTCCTGTATGTCTATTGTTTACAACTTGTTTCTTCGAGTGGCAAAAAACAAAAGAATATTTACATTAATCATATCTTGTTTGTTTACTCCGTATAAAGAACAAAGTGGAGGGGGGAAAAGCGGCATATGTTGTGTGCTGTGACTAGTCTCTGGAAACTTCATGGTGATAAGACTCCAGAAATCACTGCGCCCAGCCAATAAATAGTCCGGCACATTATTCACATTAGTGCTTGGATGGGGATTTTTTTTTTACCCTTGGAAAAAGCCAGACTACTTTACTTACTTACTGTTTTTCCAGTCTTTGTGCTAAGGTAACAGTCTCCTGGCTGTTTAGGTTCTTATGTAATGGATAAGTAAGGGAGTGATAATCTTCTCATCTAAATATTAACAAGAAAATGCCAAACTCCTTAAAGTTGCTGCTCATACGGGCCCTATTTATTTTAGCTGATCTATTCCCGTCAGCTTTACTGTGCCTATCTCTAAGCAAACTAATGAAATCACCACTGAAACACAAAGGTCTAGGACCCTAGGGTAGTTGCCCACTTAGCACAGGTGATAATCCAGCTTTGCAGAAGTGAAGAATACTTTTGTCATGCAACCAAGAGTGATTAAAGAAATACTATTACAGAGCTTTGTGGATAGGATATGTCATTTTTAGGTGTTTTTCCATTTCTGTATTTTATAAAACATCATCCACCACTGCTCGACATCACCACACTAAAGTAGTGTGGCTTTAAAGGAAAAATAAAAGTAGATATGATGTTCATTGTAATTGTAATTTGTATTCAATAAGGAAGAACATTCAAACTCTTTTGCAGTTTAATACAGAATCAAATGCTTAAAAACTGTGTTCAGTATGTTTTCCTATAAGCTGAGGGAGCAGGCTAGCACAGAAACCCTGATCCCTAACCCTGCTGGTGAAATATGTGCCACTCAGTCACCCATACAGCAAGCCATTCAGATAGGCATAAATCACAGGCCTTGAATCGATGCCCTGTTTCCCATAGGCCAATCGCCGTGGCACAACACAATCAATTCTTGTTCTCTCCTGCAACATTAAGAAGGGTCGACTCGGAATCGGCCACCATCATTACCAACATTAATACCAGCACTGAATCCAAATCAGCTCATTGGCATTCTGTATTGAGAGGGGATTCAAGCAGTGGTAAGAGCATCTGTTGCTGTCATCAGCTGATGTAGGGACCCCAATTGCTGTGTAATAGCAATAAAAACAACGTGCTTTTAGGTAGTGTGTGTCATTTAAAACAAGGAATTTTAATAGCTGCAGGCATAAGTCATAATTCAAAGGATTGATCCAGTCAGAGTTCTGAAACACATACAAAGCTACAGTATACAGTCCAAACAGGGAATTAACATGACAGGCAACCCCTGTTGCCCCTGTGGATACGTGTGTTAAATGTATTAGAGCACCATATACTGTGTATGTCTGCCCCATGTTGCTGGAGTCAGGTCACAGTCAATTGAATCACAGCACACATCGTGGTCATGTGACTGGGTTTGTGTAAGATATGATTTCACAGCAGGGTGGGGATTTTAAAGCATGAGGAGGAGGAGAAGGAGGAGTGTGTGTGGTACATGACAAGTGTGTATGTGTGCATTTGTGTGTTCATAGCACTAAAATGTCATCCCTCAAACTCCAGGCTCCCTCTGGGGAATACTGAACAATCCCCAATAGGGAAGGAGAAGGAAATGACTATCCATAAATGATATTCCTCACTATAACACAACAGGTCAAATTAGTGAAATTTAATAATTTCCNNCCATAACCTTATACAGATCTTAATGTACTCCAGAGTGATTAAATATCTCCAAATAAAACATTCAGCATCTGGCTGTGTGTGTGCAGGCATCTGCAGACTCATCCCTCATCTTTAATATTGCTCTGATCTCAGTCTGTGCAGCTCATGCATACATTACATAAACACAGGCAGGCTGGCAATGTGATGCTGCACCAGTTAGTGATTAAATCTGCTCATTTGCTGTTGGGGGAAACGAGACGTGCAAATGCCCATATTGCTCATTTAAATATGTTTAAGAGTCACCGGATGGCAATTTAAACAAGTTTAACCGAAAGGAGGACACATAGGCCTTTTCAATCGTTCATTAATCTGTTGAATTATTTATGTGTTATCTGCTAGCAGGGGGTGGGTGGCAGGCTACTGCTGACAGAGAAGGAGAGAAAGATACTATTTTGCACCCTGTAGCTGGCAGTCAGTGGTGGGTGTACTCAGAGCCTTTAGGTTAAAGTACTACTACTATGCTGTAAAAATAATAATAATCCTTTTTCCCTCTGAAAAGTAAGTAGTGGACTACAAGTATAAAGTGGCATGAAATGAAAACCTCAGATTTGTACTTGAGTAAATCTGCATTACACCACTGCTGGCAGTTAATGCTGTGTTGCCATTTATAAGCATGTATATATATTAGCTATATGCAACACGCCTTTGACATGGCAATGAGACACTGACTTGAGATCATTTCACCCACACAAATTCACAATAAAGACACACACAGGGAGTTCTAACTTAGTTTCACCTCTTGCCGATATCACAAACTCCCTGTCAGCTGAAAATATGCTCCAGTCAGCAGAGCTGTAGGCCCTATAGCAGCAGAATAGCTTATTGCTGTCTCTTTGTCACTGTATCCCTCTTCTTGTGGTCCCACTGGGTGCTCAACACCTGATGAATACGTATTGAATAACGCACTCACTCATTGTCATCCATGCATTACCACATTTCGCTCTCCTTTAGAGGACGTTGGCCTACAAGCTGGTGTGGATGGATGGTCTTAGACTTCAGTTGTTTCAATATTGTGTCACATTACAATCTGAGAAGCATAAACAGAGGGAGAATAATACCCAGAGATACCAAACTGCAGCTTCTTTTCAAGTTAGTCCTATATTACACAGCTATTAACACTTGCTTAGTATCTGTGCTTTTAAAAGGCTGGCTTGTATTCTGACACCCTCTCCTGGTTCAGTTGTGAAATTACAACTTTTATAAACGCAGGTCAGTTGATTTAAGATCACAGTATGTGAAATTCTCCCATGAAGCATTGAGTGAAATATGACATTATGTCTGAATTGTTGTTTCCAACCAAGTTCAAGGTATGTTTTTTTTTTTTTTATTATTGTTTTGTTGTAAGTTAGTTTACATGATGAGAGTGTTTGATAACATAATCATGCAAAAAAGACACTTTACAGGCTGAATCTCAACAAATGGTAAAATGTGAAACTGGCAAACTGATTTCAGTAGAGCCCAAGCTGAAAGACATTCAATCATCTCAAAAATAGCACTTTATAGGACAAAATGTAAAAATATGTAGTGTATTTGAACAGCTGTACGTACAGCATACGTTACTTATACACAAATCTTAAATGGCCAAAATTGATCTGAAGAATCTGAACGAGTCATATCTTAAAAAAATAGTTCAATGACTTTAGTTTAAATAGAAGCGCTATACAGGAGAAAGTCTTTACTTTGTATAAATTATCTCTTTATTTCAAAAATCTTGCGTCCCACAGCATCATACCATCAGCATGTCGGCTGGGGGAGGCTTCAGAGGGATCTGGCCTAGAATGAACCTCTTAGCCTTGAACTGATTCAGTTCCTCTGGAGTCAGTTTGCTCTCAGGTGAAAACAGACTGTCCGATGCTCCACCGGCAGAGCCGCCTCCTGCTGCAGGTGGAGCAGCGGTTGCTCCAAACCCTGTCTGTCCAAAAATGCTGCTGTTTCCTGGTGCAGCAGGAGCCCCGAACCCCGTCCCGAATCCTCCTCCGGTGCTTGCTGTCGAGGAGAAATCAAACCCTGAGGCAGCGCCAAATCCTGAAGTGGCTGCGGGTGCGTTGGTGTTCGAAGCAGTGAACGAGAAAGAGGAAGAAGAGGCTGCAGAGGAGGAACCAAACCCAGAGGAAGGTTGTGTAGGAGCTGCTGAGGCATTGCCAAAACCTGTGGCGGATGATGGTGCCGCTGACGAACCAAATCCACCACTTGGAGCAAAGCTGAAGGCGCTGGCCTGGGCTGGTGCTGGTGCTGGTGCCCCAAAGCCTACAGAAAGATTTAGAATGAACACAGGAGCAAAGACTAGCCTGGACTGGATCGCCTGGTCAACATATTCAATACAATAAAACGCTACTGTTCTGTTTTGTTCCATAAATCTACACTTACAATTTAAATTCAGATGCATTCATGACTTCACACCAAATCAGCTACTTGACTGAGCTCATGCTACATGGAGTGAAAATCATCTATTCAACTGTACTCATGAGACACTACAAAAGCAACAGTTAGATGATGCCACTCTCAGTTGGCCAGCTTAGCTTAGCACAAACAGCTAGCCTCACTCTGTCAAAAGGAATCAAAATACACCTACCAGCCCATCTAAAGAGGACTAGATAGAACATTCATTTTAATCTGTACAAAAGTTGAAATGTAAAAAACGTATTATTGTTATTTGCCTGACTATTTCTTGGCTGGGAGCAGTTACTTTCTTTGGTCCTTTACAAATAAGTAAATTAAAGCATTGCCCAAAATGTTGAACCTTTGCTTCACCCATCAACTGTGAGAATGAAGAAACACTTAATCTTCACCTTTGCTTTCAAAGCTGGACGTAGACGATCCGAATCCGGTCGCTGTTGCTGAATCGAAGCCACTTGAAGATGACTGAGGTGCTGGGTTGCTTAACTCTGCAAGCTGCAAGAAAAGTAAATACAGTAAATATCACAACATGATGACTTTATTTATAGAAAGTCCTTCTTAAAAATAGACGGGAGTGCTGTTACCGTAACTGTGTGTGTGTGTGTGTGTGTGTGTGTGTGTGTGTGTGTCTCTCACCACAGCTGCACGAGTGGCGGGACCCATAACTTTCAGCTCCTGGACTCTGTTTCTCCACTGGCTGAGCAACTGATTGATACCATTAAGCTGAACACAAGTAACAAGAGTGCCTTAGATCAAAACACACTAAACTAATTTCAAGATCATGTGACAAAAACATTGCGATATCACCGTCAAGACTCTTCTTTACTTTCATGAAGAAGACAAACATTATTGAGTGACAGTACACTTACATAGCCCTGAAGATCTCCCGAAGCACTCGTGGAGTAAAACTCCAGTCTGAGCTCTTCTGGAGAGAGATCGGTGAAACCTGGAGACAACAAGCATCAAACATCTTCACCCCAGTGTCTTGAGTATTGGTTGGTCATTTACAACTAATGCTGGGACTACAACAGAATAATAACAACAGAAATCATGTCAATAAATGTACATTTGATACAGACCAGACAAAGATGTCTTGGCGCTAGAATAACACGAGAAGCCCCACTGTCCCGAACTCTCCCATATGTCCATGTCCATCTGAATGATCTCCCTGTGTGGACCGTGAGACAGACGCTGCATGGATTAATTCCTAATGACTACATTTATATTAATGCCACACAACAAAGCACACTTACAGTTTTTTGTCATCATCTTCATCAACAGCTGCCACCTGCTGTGCTCCTCCTCCTCCTCCTCGTCCTCCTCTGTCAAAGGTGCTGGAGGCAGCCAGCGCTGAGAATCTGTTTTGAGCGGAGAAGCTGAATTCGGAGCTCTTCGCGTTCTCTTTTCTCCCTCCACCTCCTCCTCTGCCCCAGTCAGAT